AGTGTTGAACAGTTAATGAATGAATTTAACAACCTTATTGTTAAATATGCAAAAAGATATTATGAACTTAGAAAAGTAAATAAACCAATAGCAATGACAAAAGAAGATATTGACAATTTCAGAAAAGCTAAAAAATGCCATATTTGTAATGGTACATTTAATGAAAAATTAATAAAAGTAAGAGATCATGATCACTACACAGGGCGTTATCGTGGGGCAGCTCATGACAGCTGCAACTTAAAACTAAAATTACCAAGTTTTGTACCAATATTATTCCATAATTTGAAATATGATTCTAAATTATTTCTAAGATGGATTTTGAAACTAAGAGCTAAATACGAAAACGGGCAGAAAAATAAGAAAGCTCTAAATATAATGCCAAACACAAAAGAAAATTATGTTACAATTTCTATAAAAAATGTAGTTGTTGATCAATATGAACAACAGTATGACATATCAATATCCCAGATAACCAAGCGTGATTAATCATATTTAACAAACTAATGCACTGCATGTGTTGTTATATGTTTGTTGTATATTTGCTAACATCGAAATAGAACGCGTTACTGAATACAGCAACATTAGAGCTTATCCAAGCAATCAGTTGACGAAATTTCGAAAGCAAACGATCAGCGATATACATATATAATGTTATCAGCAACATGACAATAACTGATGATTTATCATTTCATCTAAAGCATCATGACGACAACATGACGGCAACAATACAAATATAATGATTATCATTCTTTGTCGCGCATATGTCTTCGAGCTATAAAGTTTTTTAATTACAGCTTGTTGTCAACAAAGTATCAACAATATGAAATTGTTATATGATTACGACAATTTTTCAACAAAAAATATATAGTTCTTCAGATTTAATATATACAAATAGAATATTTATTTTTAATTACACTTGCAAAATATATATGTGATTTATACTATTTGTATGAAGTATAATAATAATAATAATAATAGAATAATAGCGTTTTTGGATGAACGAGTTAACCCAACCCGGTTCAATTAATCACTATATTTTACTATGAATTCAAGCTTTTTATTGGCAGAGACGATACAACGTCATTAATCGCTTTAAGAACGATTAAACCAGCTACAATCGAAAACGCTATAAGATGTTTAGGGCCCGTTCCACTTAATGACCGCAACGCTCACGGTATCATTTCATCTTTGTTGTTCACCGAAAGTTAAACAAAGACAGATGATGCTCGCGAGCGTTGCGTTAAATGGAACGCGCCTTTAGTGAGATATCAGTAGAGTCTAGTGACTCCTTCAGATGGCACTGGCATCGCGGTAACGCGTGATCGCCGATCTTATATGAGAATCTTGATTCGATTCAAGGGGTATATTATATATTAGTCGTTGGCGGGAAAGCGGATAGCGGATGTATAAGGAGTAAGAGTAAGCAGTCGTCGTTGATCGTCGTTGTGCCTTTGTAGAGTAAGTATCATAACGGTAGCATATCATCGGTACTTGTGAGACAAAGGTCTGAGTCCAAACTCTTGAGCACATACTTTTGCATGCGTAAACAATTATTAATTCAAATAGGGATTGCATACGAAAGTTTCGGTCGTACATGTTCCAAAATTGAGACCCTGGTCGGCCATAATGCATGTCTCGTTCTCTTTTTTGTCTCGACGACAAAAAGTGTCTGACGCAATAACTTAATAGGTGAAAATTTTTAACAATATTAATACTTATAACTTCGAATTTTTGGATTTGAAAAGATATCACGACTTAATTTTTACTGCAGATTTAGTTGACTGATAATGCATTCTTTCATAAACACTTTAGTAAGTTATATTTATTAACAACAACTGTGTATCCTTTGTAACCGTAATTTTTTTTGTTAATTATTTAAGTAATAATTATTTGATTATTTGGCGGGCGGTTCTTCGGTGCCCACGGCACACCTTCGGCGCGTATCTCGAATATCGGTCTCGATATCCCGCGAAAGTTCGTATATCACAAAGAAAACCGAGTTGGGCGCCAGGTACGACAGGCCGCACCATTCACGATAATAGTAACGCTAAGAAACAATTGCGAGACCGATATTTAACGCGACGGCAAAATTCCGCGGCTACTCAATTTACCCAAAATGGTAGAGGGGGTGGTTCGGGGGGAAACGGAAGAGATCTTGAGAATCGAGAACACGGGAGCAAAAATGAGCATTCGATAAGTTAAAAATAAAGATAACAATAATAATATATTAAGTGAAACAAGAGTATAGAGCAGTTCGCAGAAGTAATAACCGTGGGCGACAATGGTTATTCTACAGGCGAATAAAATATATTATTTCCGCGAAGATCGGCACGACCGTGCGCAACAGTATTAAATTACCGGGCGACTTACGCGCTTTAACTCGACTTTTCGGCCGTGAGGATTTCCGCCGTACGAGACTTAATTAGGCTGCGACAACTAAAGAAATCTCTCGTATGCGCCGGTAACTACTTTACGCACGCCCGTGAATCCGCTTCAATACAATATAAATTTCTCGGTGATACGACTCGAATAGGTCTTTTAACGCATTGACTGTCGGCGGCGGCGAAGTGAATGGAGAGAGCTTAATTTCTATAATTCGGATGAGCGGCGTGTGCTCGTCGGCCGTGCCACTTAATCTAACAAAAGATTCACCAAGTTAATTCACAAAAACGCGTGGCTCGACAACTATTAAGGGCGCGACTCGTCCGAATTAATTACCTACAAATAAACGGCAACAAAATCGGCTGACGACACTCGTCCCACCGGCAGGAAGTTCTCAAATCTCCTTCTTGCTCGAAATTTTGGATACGCTCGAAGAGGTCTGCGTCCTTCTCGCTATCTCGCCGAACAGTGCCGAGCGAGAGTCCTGCAGGAGACACGCCGGCGCGATAAATCGCTATGGATTGAGAGTCCGCTCGCCGCTCCGTCCTTGGGACTCCCTCGCTTCGTGCGGGTGGAGTGGCCGCCCCTTTGGCCGGATTATTCCGGCCCTCCGCGCTCCTTTCCTGCCATAAGAAATATAAATTTACCGGCAGCGATGTTTGTCAGCCATATAAAATGTTTTTAATATTAGACAACTACGACCTGACGTCTCCTGTTTCCCGGGTGTCCTGGACTGCCGCTCTCGGCCGTCGCTCTTTTTTCTTCCTTTCCTTCCGCCGGATGGGATCCCGCAGCTCGATCTCGTGCCGACAACCAACTCGCGGGCTCATCTCGAGCTTACATTTGCGATAACTATTATTAACAAAAGTCAGATCTCATCGATCTGACGATTGGGCCGCTCTCTCCCGAAATAGAGAGGGCGCAGCCCCTCGAAAAACCGCCCCCGATCGGGTCATTCGATCCTTGCGACGGACGTTTCAAAAACGTCACGTCACACCTTATAGATATTTATGTGGCTTTGTTATCCAAAATGATAGTCTTACATTCGTTCTATATATTTACATTTATTTGTTCTATTCATTCGATTTCTGTAACATTATTGTGTTAGATTTCAATTATTCAATCGGATTCTACATATTATAAGCTGCGATTGCTCTTTGCTGGTTACTCATTATATTTGTACTCTTTGTGTGTGTTACAGATAGCGATAGGACTTCTACAGTCATATTTGAAATTGGTTCATGTGTATGTACATAGCGTACATAAAGTGACCGTGGCGTGTTCTTTTGACAGAGGCAATAGTGGCATGCTGCAAAATGTAAGTCGGTTTCGTTATCCTATTACAATTTATTTATTAGGTGTACAAATAAGTTTCCGCCGTTTGACAAAAGTTGGCGCCACCAGTAAGTTATGGTTAAAATTGTCAGATGTAAAACAAAGTTATTCTCCTGCATGATAATGCTCGTCCACATGTTGCGGCGCCGGTCAAAACCTATTTGGAAACACTCAATTGGGAAGTTTTACCCCACCCGCCGTATTCACCAGACATTGCTCCTTCTGATTTCCACATGTTTAGATCGATGGCGCATGGCCTGTCTGAGCAACACTTCACATCATATGAAGATACCAAAAATTGGTTCGATTCGTGGATAGCCTCAAAAGATGATGCATTCTTCCGACGCGGTATCCGTACGCTGCCAGAAAGATGGGGAAAAGTAGTGGCAAGCGATGGACAATACTTCAAATAAAACATTAGGTTCCGTTCTTTCACAATAAATGCCCAATTTTTGATAAAAAACGGCGGAAACTTATTTGTACACCTAATAATTGTGTTTAATTATTTGCATTTTTTTATACGCAGTGCTACATTCAAAGTTTTATAATCTATTTTTTTATATCAATGTCTAGTTTTATGATGCATTCTTTCAATAACACTTTAATAAATTACGTTTATTAACAGCTGTGTATCCTTATTTATGTGGCATTGTTATCAAAAATGATAGTCTTACATTCATTCTATATATTTACATTTATTTATTCTATTCATTCGATTTCTGTAACATTATTGTGTTAGATTTCAATTATTCAATCGGATTCTACATATTATAAGCTGCGATTGCTCTTTGCTGGTTACTCATTATATTTGTACTCTTTGTGTGTGTTACAGATAGCGATAGGACTTCTACAGTCATATTTGAAATTGGTTCATGTGTATGTACATAGCTTACATAAAGTGACCGTGGTGTGTTCTTTTGACAGAGGCAATAGTGGCATGCTGCATAATGTAAGTCGGTTTCGTTATCCTATTACAATTTATTTAATTGTGTTTAATTATTTGCATTTTTCGGTACACAGTACTACATTCAAAGTTTTATAATCTTTCAAGTTTTGAATTTTAACATGGCCAAAATTAATCTTTTTAAAACCAGAAATCGTAAAATTTCATATAGTCGAAAACCAATGTTTAAATTATTATCACGTCAACGTAAACGTATATTAAACTTGTTACGGCAAAACAATCAAAGGAATTATAACGTACGACTAGATAATCCACTGATAGATACTGTAAATGATCCTCAAAGTAATATAGTCTCAGCATTTCATTGTTCTGTCGACCAACTGTCTCATGTCAGTGAGCAATGTAGTGAACTTACTTCTTCCGGTCCAATGGATGTCAATAACTGTAGTTTCCTCAATCTTGAAGAAAACATTTCATCTGCTAATGAAAGTTTGAATTGCAATTCAAGTGTAGGAGTAAATACTTGTGAAAAAGTAAACACTTTATATGATTTTCAAGAATCTCTTGCAGCATCTTTTGTACAAGGAAATCTTACACATATACAAGAGAATCTAATTTTAACGACATTGCGATCACTGTCATATCTCTTGTATCTTCCCAAAGATTCACGAACATTATTAAACACTCCGCGTAAAGGCCCTATTATATCTAAAATTCTTTCGAAAATATTATAGAAAACCTCACCGTCCTCTGCAACAATTTTTCTATAGGCAATCTGAGAAAGAAAAACGAGAGAAATTGAAACCTTTAACTGATGTTGATACAATTAAAGTTTTTGGAAGACATAATAAAGGTCCTTTGCCTTTGGAATTTTCAGAGCATAATTTTCAATATAAAAAGCTGCAGAGTAAGTGCATCTTTATAAATGTTGATTCCTTGGGCGATAGATGCTGTGTTCTTCGTGATTCGTCCATATGCATTGTACACAATATTTTTGAACTGCATAATTCACATTATTTGATAATTACAAAATTTGAAATCGTCGAAGATTGTTATGATGTCGGTGTCCCCTCTTCGTCAATCGGTATTTTTAAATGTTCCGCATTATGTAACAATTTTAATGTTGTATCTACTAATGAAATGAAGGCCAAATGTTATTTAATGCCATGGTGGAAAGTTAACAACGATGAGGATTCAGATTCCAGTATTAATGAGACTGATGAGCCTATCGCTGGAAAATATATTGTTTTCATTCTTTTGTAATCACACACACACACGCACGCGCGCGCACACACGCACATACACACACACACACACTGTTATATTCTTCAGGTTTCAATCTGTGTGTCAGTGATGCCAGAAACGGGTCCCGCGGCTCACGGCTCAGCAATGGAAGGAGTAACGCACCAAGCGCGAATCGCGTACATGTGGCACATGTACGCGGTTCGCGCCTGTGTGCGTTACTCCTTCCATTGCTGAGCCGTGAACCGCGGGACCCGTTTCTGGCATCACTGAACTTGTTATTCACATCGGCAGAGCGCGAGTTTCCGCGGTCGGTCGATTTAGTCTGCCTACGATTCGAGCCGGTCGAAATACATCGATTTCGCATTCGCATTTCGCTTATTCTCGCTCGTGTCGCGTACGCAGTAGGCTTACTCGTCTTATTATATTCGGTCCGAATTGTCTCGCATAATATCGCATTCATAATCTCGCGGCGAGCAATTTGGTCACATCTCAATTCGTGTTCTTTCATTATTTAGTGCTCAGATATTGTAAATGTTAATTCTGTGGAGTCCGAGAGTCGACGCTCGTTAACCGCATCGCGAATGTCCTCTGCCTAGCGCCAAATTCCATCCGGCGTTCGCATGCAAGATTTCCGCTCTCGCGAGAGTTTCTAGCAAGAAGCTCTTAATCAGGATTTCCGAACCGCGAAAAAGGACAGTCATTAACAGGGCATTTGAAGATATCCGTCGGATTCGCGGAACACGTGACGTCGCTCGCTCCTCTTATTCTAAATAAACGAATAGTTAAAACAATCTACACTCGAGTCTTTTCTCAATCTCCTTATCCTCCACAATGCAAATAATATATTTAAAAATTTTCATGTTAGGCGCCTGCACGAAAAGTTAGACAATGTTGTCTCAAAGGAAGATTTTCAGTAACTTGATTATTTTTATAGAAAATATTTTTTAATCATGTTTTGTTACATAATATTAGTGTGCGTTCTCATATTCTTTGCCATAATGAGTGCTTTCCATTAACGACACAGTGCGACACAGAGTATCATTTTCAAACCACCTTCATTTCCATTACAATCAGTTCAACAAGTTATAGATTTTAACAATATCTCGCAAGAAGAATACGAAAATGCGGTAAATTTTCCATAAAAAGTGATAAGCATGGAACTATAGTAGTGACAAAACGAATATAAAATAATTTGAAATAAAAATTGATATTGCTCTATTGCAGGTCGAGTATCTACATTTTGTAGGCGGTTTCACTCTACATGATGCGATAAAGTATTGCATGAAGGAAGCAATGACTGATGACACAATTCGACATTACTCGGCTTGGGGAGAGCGCGGAAATCTCCCATTGTTTGATACCAAATTAATTAAAGTAATATATGGTAAGTTACTTTGGCTTGTTAAATATATTACATGTATATTATTAAATTGTTATACAAATAACTTGCGATTTAATTGCCTGTAATTGCTGTAATTAATCTTTTGAAGCATACATTTTAGTTTTAAATAAAGTTATTAAATATAATTATTTTTAAGTATATAGTTTATATACTAAGATATTGTTATTTATTTTTTAAATTTAGTTTTTTAAAGAATTTACTGTGCTAGTACATTATAAATACGTTATAAAAGTAAACATAAAGAGTTTAACATACAAGTGTATTTTATAAACATTTAATATAAATTATATATATTAAAGTGTACATATATATGAAGTCTGTAATGTACTTGCATAAGTAAATTCTTTAAAAAAATGAATTTAAAGAATTAATAACAATATTATTATATAAACTGTATACTTAAAAACTATATTAAATAATTATATTTAAAAATAAAATGTATGTTGGAAAAAATTAATTAGTGTATATCATTAAATCGCTATTCATGGACACATACACCCATACAATATTTGCAAGAAGTTATTTTGCCTGAAATATGTAGAACGACTCGTTTTATTCAAGAAGTTGTGAATTGAATCATTGTTTTTTTTTTTTATTTATAGATGCTGTATGTAAAAATTCGCATTTCGAAAAACCGTTGCGAGATGATTTTTTTCAAGAGATGGGGGAGGCAGTACGTTTTGGAAAACAAAGACATCGAAATGTAATGAAAAGAATAAATGAAGGAGGAACAGGAAGATGCCGGCAATTGCGACGCGAGGCAGATAACCATTTACTTGTCGAGCTACATGATGATGCACATAATGCAGTCGACATAGATTATGCGGATGATGGCGATCATGAAAAGCTCCTCGAGAATAGTAATGATAAACCGCGCGGATATACGGCTGCGGTAAAAGAAACGCGGCTGCGAGACTGGGTGTTAGACGCGGGGCGCGAAACCCCGTAGTGCGTACGCCGAGACCGACCCGTTATATCGGCCGGAATGTTCGCTCAGCTGGAATTACGCCTCGCACTGCGACGAAATTGATTATTGCGTTCTTCTATAATTCGGGCGCAAGTCCGAATCAATTCTCGATATCACTTCGCCAACGGCGACCTTATCGCCCGCTATTACCGCTAAATTATTACTACGCAACTTAAGATTAACAAGCAACTAATACAACGCGGACATGCTTCGATTTTGGGCAGACCTGTTACGCAGAATCGAATACTCGGCACACACGCACACGCAATTCATGCAAGAATCGCGAGGAAACTCTCACAAAACGCGCTCACAATTTCGAGACGCGGTGCTTTACAACCGACATAATACGTCGAATTTACGCGATTCAAACTCTCACGTAACCCGTACAATAATCGTGAAGGAAAGTTGCAGTCCGGTGCACTCAAAGTTTAGACGCGAAGATTCACAAACGAAAGACAAAAATAATATAACAAATTGACGCGATTCACACTCACACTCAAACGACCGACATACAGTACGAACGAATCTTAAACGCTAGACGTGCGAGAACCCACGCAAATATAATCTACGGAATCCGAATCTCCAGAGAGACGACACACGGTTCATTAAAAACGCGAGATAATGTCTCGATCCGCGGAAACCGGTACTTTCGAGGCTTCGGGGCTCGAATCGCTTGACGACGTGGCCGTGACGCGAAAATCTACACTAAAGAATCGAGCTTAGCCCGTACACCAAAGTACGAATTCACGGCGACGACGATAGAACGAGACGATTTCCGGGCGCGATCGCGCGTGGCTAATTTGGCAGAGGATAACCTCACCGGTACTTTTCCTCTTGGGGTGGTCGTCCGGGGTCGGCGACGCTGACGTCCTCTCGTCCGGACTTCTCCGCTGGTAGCCGGAATCCTCTCCTTCCGCTCTCGCCACAACGCTCTCGTCCTCTCAGCCACAAAATTACTCGCTCTCGATCTCACATCAACCGGATCCGCATGGGCCTGAGTCCTTGCGCGAGGATTTTCTCGCTGTCCCGTGCGTCGCGCATCACGCGTGCGAGTCCGGATCCCGTCGTGACGTAGCCAGACGTTAGATGCTTTGAATTCCCGGATTGCTGGCTCCTTGCTCCTCTAAGGTCGTCTTGGATCGCCGATTGTATTTTCCGTGATGTTTCAGCGACTTTCCGCTCGTTCTTCCGATGAGGCTCCCCAATCAATTATTCATACGAAAAGAAAATAACAAACAAAATTAATATTAAGCTCGGAATCTCAATTAATGACGCATCTCTGGAGGTAACGGTACGGTTCTCGCAATTATTCGACTGGCGCGGCCCTTTAGCCCGCGCTTTTCGATTGGAGAGGGATTCGGCGGACGCGCGCGAGACGGCAATGTCACAATATATATATAATAATCAACTGACTTAAATACCCCAACATTACATCTTTTACATCTCGCAATCATTTTAAGTACACCATGTTCGTTTATAGGAAGTAACTTCATATTTGTTATTTCTTGAACAGTTTTGCAGCGTGAACAAAAACAATCGTTTACATCAAGTAAGTTTTTAACTAATGAATCTAGACTTTTGTTCATAAATCTAAATGTATCAATGAATCGCACCTCCATATGTATATTATTAATATCTCCTTTCTTTTTAATGTTGGTTTTCGAATTGCATTCTCTACAGGTTTCAATAATTTCATTCTTATATTTTTTATTGCCCTCTTTACATCCCAGATAGCCAACTGTCTGTGAGGTTGCTGTTATGTTGCCAACAATTGTTGAAGCAGCTAATTTTGAAAAACTAGGAACAAAGTGCGACAGCATTATGTTTGTTGGATTGAACTCATGTGATTTTTAAATCTAAGAACGACAAATTGATGGCAACATGTTAACACTGATTTGTTACCCGCAAAGAAGAGATTTTACCAGCAACTTGAGGACATTTGTTGTCATCCGCGATTAACAGCATACTAACTTACTTGACGTAAACGATTGTTTTTGTTCACGCTGCAAAACTGTTCAAGAAATAACAAATATGAAGTTACTTCCTATAAACGAACATGGTGTACTTAAAATGATTGCGAGATGTAAAAGATGTAATGGTGGGGTATTTAAGTCAGTTGATTATTCTAAATTTAAAACTATGTTAAAGAGATTTGAAAAAGAAGATTTACATTTAGTTCTACAAAAGGGAATTTATATGTATGAATGGATGGGCTCTTATGCTAAAATGTATGAGTTATATTTACCAAATACAAAAAAAGAATGGTATTCAACTTTAAATGATGAAAATGTGAGCCCTTCTAAGCTTAAATTTGCACATAAAGTATATAGACATTTTAAATGTAAAATTGTAAAAGATTATCATAATTTATACTTGAAATTAGATACTGTTTTATTACATGATGTTTTTGACAACTTTAGAGAAAAATGTTATAAGGAATATGGGCTTGACCCGGTATATTATATATCTGCTCCGCAATTTGCTAATGATGCTTCATTAAAATACACTGAACAAACATTAGAATTATTATCAGATAGGAAAATGTATGAAACATATGAAGCTGGAATAAGGGGTGGAATATCTATGATTCCACATAGATATGCATTAGCTAATAATTGTTACTTTTATGATAATAAAATTGGAAAGACTGTACAACATCCAATGTTGCCCGAACATTATGTGCCTAGTTATGATGAATTATCCCAATATCAAAAAGAATTGATATCTAAAGGTATAGGTAAAATAACAACTGGCACTAAACTTATGTGCACATCATTAAAATCAAAGAATAATTATTTAATTGATTACCGAATGTTGCAAGAATGCCTTAATTAAGGAATAATATTAAAAGATATAAAAAAATTAATATAATTTAGACGAAAAGCATGGCTGAAGTCCTACATTGACTTAAACAAAACTTAGACAAAAAGCTAAAAACGGATTTGTAAAGGACTTTTTTAAACTCATGAATAATTCGGTATATGTGGAAGGCAAATGGAAAACGTGAGAAACAGATGTCAAGTAGACTTGTTTTATTCATATAAAGATTTTGCGAAGTGTAAAAATTACGAAGATGGACAAATAATAGATGATGATAAAGTGCTTGTGTATCGGAAAAAGAAAGAAATAACCGATTGAAAATAGTCAAATCAAATTTATATATCGAAATTATATATCGAATTAATAGTACGCTTCAGGCAGGTTAATGTTGGGTGATATACATCCACCTCAATCCGAAATTATACAATATTTTATGTAGTGTGAAGTCGGATTTGCTGTTATCATGAGTCACAATCAATTATTGAATCGGTGTTTCTGCAATTAAAACAACGGACTCAGTTATTAAAAACAAATATACGATTTCTCCGCAGGGGGCCGCCTTATATCCCCGCTTGACCGCTTTCTAATTCCAGGTTGGCTCGCTCGACCTTCGCCGCGTAGCGGCGCCGCCCGGAACTACGCGCGGACGCGCGAGCGCGTGGACCGCCAAGTTGTGAATCGCGCTACTGTATCGCGGATTGTGCTTAATGTGACGACTTACGGCAGCCACAATATCTATTCGATTATTCGTGTTTATTTGGATAGACAACAATATGGATTAGAATGTAATAATTTCAGATTGGAAATAATCCGCGAAAGCGATATTAAAATCGATTATAGTTCGTTCGGAATTAAAATCGATTACTTTTTAATCCGGGCGCGGATTGAACCGATTAAAACCGATTAAAACGGATTATGTTTTAATCGACCATTTTCGGCAGGGAAAACACACACATATATACGTGCACTCACCGAGAAATTATAATCAACAATATTTTATTTTTATTTTTATATAATCATGTACATCTATCATTTATTTTAAAATATGAATAAATTCATACTTTATTAATTTAAATAAAAGAATTACTCGTTACTAAACCCCTACTCATTCCTAGACGAAAGATCGCACTTGGTCCCATTCCGCGTAAAAGAGATTAAATTCTCTTACCGAAAAGGGACCACCGAACGAACGTCTGAATAACCAGCGTAATAGCGACTCAGTCGTTTACCTGCTTTTCAGACCTGTCAGTTCGTTCGACCCGATTCCAAACGCCACGAGACGTTTAACTTTGGGATAATAAAAGATAGTTGTTGCCCTTCCGTCGACTCATCCTTCCCCGAGTCTGGACGTAACAATGGCAATGCATTTGGTCTAAATCTAATTTTCGAAAGATTTGTTCTGTCCAAGGATTCCTTTTTAAAGTAGCGGAACAAATGCGTGCTCCATTTGGGATTTGTGATAAATTAAGACCCAAAATATCTAACCACAAATCGCGGATTGTAGCTTGCTTTGGAAAACTATAAAAAAAAACAATATTTGAAACAACTATTCTTAAAATAAAGAGTAATATTATTTTATAATATTATTTTATAAAATCCGAGTAAAAAGGCAAAAGAGCCACGCGCAGTTTTTAGGGCGCAATTTATAATTTTATATAACCTGTGAAATAAAATTTTTGTATTATCATTCACGCTTCTTTTCTTCCAGTTTTGGCAGTCTGATCTATTTTTACAGGAAGGTGCACAGCATAACACCATTTTAATACTTCGATAAAATATTTTTTTTATATATTACTATTTTTCTCTTTCCTTTTCTCTTTCTGTTTTTTTTGCCTATTGTTTTAATAAGAATGAATAAATAAATATTCATAATCAGAATATGTCAGCTACCCACTCGGCATGTAATATTTCTGATACATTGCTGCAATATTCCATTTGAAATATTACACCTTTCAACAATATTACAGAAATATTTCACGACCGTTTCTGCAACATTTCTGCAATTTTTCAAGGTCCGCAATCATTTCAAATGCAACCTTGCTAAAACATTTCAGCAATATTTCGGTAATATTACTGAAAACATCATTTTCTGATGTTTGTTTGACGGCAAAACTAAAATCAATTACAGTAATAATATCGTTGAGCAATGTCTTATCGTATAAAATAATATATCTCTAAAATAATATATATCTAGTAATTCGTATATAGCCTTTTCGGGCTATAACAACATGATACAGGTACATTTCCGAAATATTTTGGATGCAAAGTTACAATTGAAATATTAATGAAATATTTCTGTACCATTTCCGAACATTACAGTATTTCAGCAATATTACATGCCGAGTGGGTATGTTTAATTATATATATTATATTTATAAATAGATGTTTTTGATAATATATTTATTTATATATAGAACTACTCTATTAATGATTTTTTTCCATTAAAATGAAAAATTTTGTGAATGTTAAATAACAAATATTATTTTAGTTAATTATGCACTAATTATAATTTATAATATATACCTTATATACTCTATTTGTCTCTCCTTCTCCTGCTTTCTTTCTTCTTTCTCCTTTTCTTTTTCTTTTGCTTATTGTTTAAATAAAATTGTGTAAATAATCAGAATTCATAATCAGAATATGTCAGCTATATTTAATTATATATATTATATTTATAAATATATGTTTCTGATAGTATATTTATATATGGAACTGTTCTATTAACGATTAATTTTTTTTTCCATTGAAATGAAAAAAATTATGGATATTAAATATCACGAAAATCGCAAAATGGTAAAGGACTTTTCTTCTCGGTTTCATGTGCTCTACCTGCACATGGCAGGTGATCCGCGAATTATGGGACATCCTGTATATATATATATACTATATATACCTTTGTCTTTTTGTCTCTCCTTCTCTCGCTTTCTCTCTTCTCTATCTTCTTCTCTCTCTGTTTCTTTTGCCTATTTTTCGTCTTCTTTATTTTCTTTAATTTTTTTTTTTTATAAACAGCCACTCAAACTTTCAAAATTTGTATGACAGTTTGACAACAGCAGAAGATACGAGCATCACTGCGCTTGCGCAATATAATAGCCAATCAAATTTAGGCACAATTTACCTCGTCGCACCGTCCCGCAATGGTTTCACTTCCCTCGCCTAAACCCAATGAGGAAAGAATCACAGGAGAGAGCATTTGATATTGAGCGAGCGGACGGAAGTGACTATATACATCAGCAGAAAAGTGGACGCTCAAGATGGCCGCCACAAGCCTGACAATGCACCATGATGCTCTATATCTCACAATTAGACTAATTATGCACACAATTAACACTTTTGACACACAATTGACATGATTTTGCGTATCTGCAGCTAAAATGGCTGTTACAAGCGGCGCTGATACGTCAAAAAAAGTGGATACTCAAGATGGCTGCGTGACGTACTTCCGTTCGCGATAAATCTACCCCCACCACCGAAATGCTCTCTTCTGTGATTCTTTCCTCATTGCCTACGAGTTTATGCTCGGTCTCTATATTTTCTATGTCTATGGTCTTCTAATGTATTATGTATTATAGTTACTTTCGTTGCGGCCTTGGTCGAGTATTGTCGTGTTCACAGACACGTTACGTAAGAGAGAAAGAGAGAGAGAGAGAGAGAGAGAGAGAGAGAGAGAGACAAATATTATAAATTTTTATATATAAATTTATTGTTATAAAAAGAGTGAATTTATCCTGAATGATATTACTTTCTTTTCTTCCTTCGCAGGAAGTTTTCCAACGGATAAATCATGTTCGGGGTAACAAATCCCACTTTGTGCCAGTATTACATTATCATCCTTCAATGAACTAGGCCAACCTTTCCATTGCTGATTTCGTACAGGTACATCTATTAATGAGTAGATGTCCGTCTTCACTTCTAATACAGTACGTGTACCAGGGAATTTCAGATTGTATGTTTTATTATGTACTTCATCCTTTACATTCAAAGTGTAAGTTTGAATCATACGATCCGACAGGCTTACCCTTAAATTAAAAAAAAAAAGAAAAAATCACTATTATTAACAATCACAAAATTGCATTAAAGTAAAATTTTACAACTTACGTCTCGTGAGACGAATCACCATCTTGTGATAATGATGACAGGTACAATGTATTTTCTCTAGGCAGATCTAACGTTTGCAATATTGTATTCGATGTTTGGGGTTCCTTTTTCCAACCATGAAGATGTTGTTGACAGGGTGCTATATTTGTTTTATACCATATAAATTGCTTAAGATCTTCTAAAAAATATAATCCAATGTTAGTAATTATGCTTATTTATGTTAATTACGAATCTTTAAGTATCAACAATATTTTTTTATCAATAATCCATACTTACTCAAAGTGGATAATTCAGACAAATTTATTTTATAAACATTATCAAGATAGTTAATGTGGAATGTAAGTGTTCTATTCCTCATGCAACTTTTAGGTCTACTTGTTCCAGGTTTTGCACTTTCCACTGCATCTGCTTTTGTTGTCCCTATCTTTTTTGAGCTTTGTGCAGTGTGTAGTTTTGACGAAGAAGAAGAATGTGGTGTTACTTTAATTTCCTCTATCATTTCTACATCCGAAGTCATTTCAGAGGGTAACTGTTGTGTACCTTGAGGCATTGCTTTATTTATTGCAGCCTGTATGAAAAAATATGTGCCTTAATATATGAAACTTATTAGTACAATTTTATGACTTTGTTATAACTTATATCTACCAATAGATCCCAGTTTGTTTCTTCCAAATATAAAATAGCTTCTCCGAAATCATCGATTCCAGTGCATGCCTGCAAATGTGATATAAAATTTATACTTGGATATCTCTTGAGGCATATTCGATTTAAGAATCTGCATTTTTTTAAATCGTAAAACGTAATAATGTATTTGTTACAAGCACCGATAATACTCTTGATTAAAATAAAAAATATATAATATAAAAGTAAAAAATTAAAATAAAATCTATGTAATGATAAAAAATTCTCGTATTTCAAAAACAATAAATTATAAAAATGACGTAACAAAAAAATCGATAGTTTTCGCGATATTTAGTAATGTTTATAAATTTACAATGTTAAGAGATATAAGATCCAATGTGAAAGGACCATATTTGATTGTTCGATTCGTTTCGAGTATTTGTGACAATTCCGCAAAAAACAGAAGAAAAAAACTTGCTTCAAATATCCAATTATCACAATGTCATCTAAACGTAACAACCATAACCTAACAATTAGCATTTACGTTTATGTGAGCGAAGTTCAGCAGAAAATCAGCTGGCTTACCTGAAAATCAGCCAGTATCGCATCCCGGTTTTCAGCCATCGCAGTGAAATTCGGATGCTGAAATAATGCGGGATAATCTCTCGTGCGAGAGAATGAGAGAATGAGAGAAAAAGTTGCGACTCTCACCTTCACTGCTATCTTAAGACTATTGCAAATATGAATAACGGCGAGCCATTGACGTCTTAAACCAGAATCACGAAATGTCCATATAAGATACGCGGCGTCATATCACACTATAATCAAATATAATGCAATAGCGCAACACTACGTATCGGTACCTTTTCGATGTTGGAGCAAAGCTGTCTATAGTCATGCGCGAGCAGGGTTGGGTAGGTATTATATTCCATGGACGTAAGAAATATCTGGACGGAGCGTATTGCCACGAGTTTGATGACAAAGGGGAAAGGGGGAAAAGGGATTAAAAGTTCTAATGTAAGAGGAGTGAGGACCAAGGTGCACGTAGAAAAGGACATACTCTGTTTCGTGCCCCTTGCGTTCTCTCTCGCTCGCACGTAGCATAGCGTTCTCTTTGGCTATGCTACATGCGAGTGAGAGAGCACAAGGGGCACGGAACAGAGTATGTCCTTTTCTACGTGCACCTTGGTCCTCACTCCTCAACACTCGGTCTAGATATACTATGTCTATGGTAAAGGCTATCCCACACAAAATTTCGAAAGGACATAAAACGTAAGTATAAGAAAATTGACCAATCCCAATCGAATATTGGGCTTTCCATAAAAGTGGAGGGGTTACGGAGAGCCAAATACTCAATTGGAATTGGTCGATTTTCTTACGCTTACGTTCTACGTCTTTTCGGAATTTTGTGTGTGATGGCCTTAACGGATATGAACAACCAAGATGGCGGAGCAGCCAATAATTACACGGATTTCGGTCTATTGTAACGTCTTAACAGTTAAAATCACGTAAGATATCGAACAACCAAGATGGCCACACCGAGATTTCTTCTCACTCCTCAGTCTCTATACCCCGCGCCCGAAAATGTCCCTTGTGCTCTGTCCAGGGAGCCTATTATGGTTTTTGAAACGAAGTGAAAATTACAAAAATGAGGAAATTCACTAGAGTATCTACAATTTTACTTGTCAAAATCTAGTAAATCTGTTCACTTTTATAATTTTTACTTTGTTTCAAGAACCGTAATAGGCCCCCAGATATTTCTTACGTCCATGGTTTAATCTTAGAACGTATATAAATGGAAGGGGAATGCCTTTGTTTCCCGATAGAAAAACATGTCGGAAGGAAGTGAGAAAGAAAATCATAGTTGCTTCTCTCTTGTAACTGTTCAAAAATGCGCATGCACGGCTTACCGGTTTGGCCCAATGAAAAATAAGGTTACATTAGTCACAATGTGTGTGTACACAAAAGTATGTATATCTACAGACACGATGCTTGTATGTGTAGTTACTCACAAGAAAGAGGCAACTACGATTTTCTTTCTCACTTCCTTCCGACATTTTTCAGAGTGCCATTACATGGAGCGCGGAAACGCGGAAACGCGGAAACACGGAAGAGAATTGTAACTAGAAAAGTAACTATTCCGCGTTTCCGCGAATTGAGTCGTTTCTTTCCGCACATTTGGGCGGAATCTGCGGAATCCGTTACCGTCTCAACAAAACTCAACAAAAGTGTATAGAAAATATAAAAACTTTGTAAATGGATGGTCCTGTAAGTATTTGAATGCTTTTTAGTACTTAATAAACATAGTAGCTTGTTATTTTTGGAGACATTCTGACATAGTTGAAATATTTTTCAGGATCTCCCAAATGCATCTCCACAAGTACATTGTAGCTGTCACCTTGAAGAAGTCTTTTTGTCTCAGTAAAAATAGGCCGTACCCATATTTTACGGTTCTTTCTGCCTTGCAGTTTCTTGTAATGCAAATATAAAATATACATTGAGAAAACCTTTTTCATAGTTATCTCTGCATATCTCATCGGTTCATCCCGTGCTTATATGAGATACTTGATAATAATCATCAATATGATATTTGGATCCATTATTATACTATTACTTTTAAAATAATAAAATAATCGAAATATATAAAAACGTTCTCCTTCACTCGTCTCCAAAATTTGATGGGATATACTGTATCCACTTAATATTTGACGCGCTCGTTCCGCGAATGTTTTTTCCTTATATTACATGAAGCACAATTTGCGCGGAAAAGCGGAACGATATGGTAACAAATAAATATTTTTATTCATTTTTTAACATTGTTTTCACTTAATTAATTGTAATTTTCATTAATATGCTTATCTTTTTAGCTTATCTATTGAATATAAGCATTTTAATCAATAAATATCGTTAAAAATTAATATTTTATAATTTTCCGTTCCGCTCAAAAGCTCAAAATCTGCTCCATGTAATACAAGGCAATCAAAACAGACGGAACGGAACGCGGAAATCTGGTTACTATTCTCTTCCGCGTTTCCGCGTTTCCGCGCTCCATGTAATGGCACCCTCAGCCTGCTATTCCCCTTCCATTTATATATGTTCTAAGGGTATAATACGTCGTGAGTTCAACCATGTATTAAAGAGCGATATCCAATGAGAGCCCTGCTTTTCCGAAAATGCAGAGCTCTCATTGGATATCGCTCATCACGTCCAGTGTGCGAGGGCCATTATACGTATGATGTTCGAATGTGATTGATTCTTACTCCTAGAACCAACAAATCAATGTCGAGTATTAACAAGACAATGCTCAACGATTGTGCAACGATTGTGTCTTCTGAACGCATCCGTAGATTACGCTATTTGGAAAAACTAAAAATAAATTTCGAAAATATGAGTCGTGGAGATAGACCGTGTCACAAATTTTGGGAGGAAGGAAATTTTGGAAAATATTATAAAGGCCAAAGACTTTTGCATATTGTAGTTATTGCAAAAAAAATCATACGTCACAGTACCGAAAATAGGTTAAGGGACCACAGTATAATTCCCTTTTGCACTTTAGGATCCTCTTCACAGATTTCTATATATTACTAGACTCCCGTATATACTCTACCAAAAAAATTGACCTCAAAAAGTATGTATTACGTATGAGAAGTAAACATCTGCGCATGCGTGACTTAAGCAAGAATCAGTAGGAAAGAAGAGGTTAGGAGCTAGATATGTAATATGGCCGATGTGTACAGACGGAAAGTGTTTGTGTGTGTGTGTGTGCTGTGTACGCATGTGTTGTGTACATACTTTTCGGGGCCATATATTTCGTAGGAGTTAGCGGTCTAGTAATATATAGAAGTCTGTGATCCTCTTGCACACAGGACACGTCAACGAATTAAGCCTGTCACACACACTTTTCCATAACTATAAGGTTTCGACCAATCGCGTTGCTCTGGACCGCCGAATCGAGCTTTAGAACATGTATAATACGTTTCCTACGTTTTATTATACAGTTTCCTCGAAAATGTAGGAAACTACTCAAAATGGTCAAATGACCCAACCCTGTGCGCGATTGAAGCAAGCAAACCCACTAATTTCTGTACGTAACTGGATGTAAGATAGAGCGAAAAAACTGTGACCAATTGAAGCTCGAAGTTGTGGTCTGTGTCTACAATATGGCATTCTTGCCTTGCGCTTGCATAAATGCGCTCCAAGCTCCAAGCATAGGCTGCGGTCGAGAAGGCGTTAGGATGCCATCACATGCGGCGTAACTTGCGTAAGCGTAACTTGCGCCAACCAATCACATCGTCTCATTTGAGTATCGGCTATCGCCTAGTTATTTTACGCTCTTTACGCTATTATCGTTACACCGAATCCAATTTCTGGCGGAAGAAACGCTGATGTGTATTAGTAATTGCGTATCGTTCAGTATTCAAATTCCATTTCTCTGATCAAATTGTCACTGGCACCCTGAAATAATCTTTGTCTTTCTGTAAATATTGGGCGCACCCATATTCTGTGACGAGCTTTTTTCTCTTGATACATCATCAGTTTCCATATTCCAAACAATTTTAATATATGACGTTTCCTAACTTTCCGCTATTGAAGTGTTTGCTTCATCTTCTTCCACTTTTGCCATCGTTTCCATATAATTATTAATACCAGGTTAGGATCCATTATATACTTTTCTGGAGTGGGATAAGAACCTCTGAATTACTTTCTAATATGTTTGTTCGAGAAAGTAAGAGTTTTATAAATTATATTATTAATTTTGCTTCTTGAACGTTCTAAAGCGAGACGTTATGATCGAAGCCTTGTTTTCATTCCGTTTTTTGTGGTTTCTTCGTATCGTTTGATTCTGACAAACACCTCGTTGTCGATCGCCGATTGGCTCTCGGAATCGAACGATCGAAATTCCGTTTTTTGTGGTACACGTATCGACCGGGACTATTGACTTATCTTTTTAGCTTATCTATTGAATATAAGCATTTTAATCAATAAATATCGTTAAAAATTAATATTTTATAATTTTCCGTTCCGCTTTTCCGCTCAAAATCTGCTCCATGTAATACAAGGCAATCAAAACAGACGGAACGGAACGCGGAAATCTGGTTACTATTCTCTTCCGCGTTTCCGCGTTTCCGCGCTCCATGTAATGGCACCCTCAGCCTGCTATTCCCCTTCCATTTATATATGTTCTAAGGGTATAATACGTCGTGAGTTCAACCATGTATTAAAGAGCGATATCCAATGAGAGCCCTGCTTTTCCGAAAATGCAGAGCTCTCATTGGATATCGCTCATCACGTCCAGTGTGCGAGGGCCATTATACGTATGATGTTCGAATGTGATTGATTCTTACTCCTAGAACCAACAAATCAATGTCGAGTATTAACAAGACAATGCTCAACGATTGTGCAACGATTGTGTCTTCTGAACGCATCCGTAGATTACGCTATTTGGAAAAACTAAAAATAAATTTCGAAAATATGAGTCGTGGAGATAGACCGTGTCACAAATTTTGGGAGGAAGGAAATTTTGGAAAATATTATAAAGGCCAAAGACTTTTGCATATTGTAGTTATTGCAAAAAAAATCATACGTCACAGTACCGAAAATAGGTTAAGGGACCACAGTATAATTCCCTTTTGCACTTTAGGATCCTCTTCACAGATTTCTATATATTACTAGACTCCCGTATATACTCTACCAAAAAAATTGACCTCAAAAAGTATGTATTACGTATGAGAAGTAAACATCTGCGCATGCGTGACTTAAGCAAGAATCAGTAGGAAAGAAGAGGTTAGGAGCTAGATATGTAATATGGCCGATGTGTACAGACGGAAAGTGTTTGTGTGTGTGTGTGTGCTGTGTACGCATGTGTTGTGTACATACTTTTCGGGGCCATATATTTCGT